ACAGACTGCATGGCTATATGTATCTGCGGCAATGGGAGTGAAAACACCTGAACTCAAAGATGAGGACGTGTAGCCCAATACATTAGTCCATATTGTTTATGTTAAGGAATTCAAACTCATCTTACATGGTGGGCCACGTACGGTCTTCAGGTCATATCCTTGCAACCTACCAAAAGTTTCTGGTAGTTTCGGAGATACGGTTGGGCAGCTCCTTGAAAAATTCTAAACCCTGTTTGTTACTTGCAGTTTCATTCAGTTTTTAACCAATTTACTCATTCTCTTCACGTGCTTATCAACTGGAGCAGAACAAAACGTAATTGACATTAAATTGTCCAAACAGTTAAACCTTCCACTTACTTCACTCGACCCTCCCCTACCTGCCACCACACTCAGTAACCAAATTTCTGCTTTAATCACCCATCAAACCGAACTTGTCCACCTATTCTCATATGAAAATCACTGGGAGACCCTCTTGTTTTTTACCTTCGCCTCTCCAGGCACCCCTCTGATCCCTGGTTACCCATGATTACAGAAACAGAATAACCCATGGGACACTTTGAGTATTTAATCATGCCATTTGGTCTCACCAACGTCCCCACAGTGTTTCAGGTACTAGTGAATGATGTGCTGTTTGAACATCTTTGTTTTTGTGTATTTAGATGAAATTCAGATTTTTTCCAAATCTCTAGAGGAGCACCAGGTTCATGTCTGGAGTGTCCTGCAACACCTCTTGGAAAATCGATGTCAAGTCGGAGAAATTCAAATACCACTCTCCCTCCGTCACTTTTCTCGGCTACATTTTCGTAGGGGGGCAGGTGAAGATGTATCCAGTAAAGATCCGGGGAGTAAGCAAATGGCCCGCTCCCACGTTTTGGAAACACCTGCAACGATTTCTTGGGTTTGCCAACTTTTAATGATTCTTAATGTGGAACTACAGGTATCCGCAACACTCACTCACCTCCACCAAGACTCCTTTAGTTTGGTCCCCAGAAGCCAAGTCAGCCTTCAAGAAATTAAAGCAGCTGTTCACCTATGCATCTGTCCTGGTTAACCTCAACATGAAGAAACAGTTTATAGTTGACCCCTCCAATTCTGGAGCCCCCAAATGCAGGCCCCAAGGTAAGCTTCATCTCATGCCTTCCTCTCTCACTCTAGAAAAGTATGTTAAAGATTATGTAGCAGCATGTTCCATCTGTGCATGCAGGAAGAATAACTCCCTTTGACCCTCAGGTTTGCGCCAACCCCTAGCCACACCTCACAGGCCCTGGTCCCACATAGCTTTGGACGTTGATACTGGTCTCCTCACTTCCTCCAGTAAGACCATAATCCCTTCTATAATAGACAGGTCCCAACACCACCTACAGTGTGGGCCTACTTCAAACTGCTTTTGAGTCCATTCCCAAATACTGGCC